CTGAAGTCGGACGCTTAACCGACTGCGCCACCCAGGCGCCCCAAGTATGCAAGTTTTGACCTTGGGGTGGTAAGCTGGAGCCCCGCATTGGGTATACAGATGAATAAAAAATAATAATATAAAAGAGGCAAAATTAATCTATAATGTTAGAGATTGGACTAGCCAATACCCTTGGGAAAGACAGTGATTGGAGAGTGCATGGGAGGGTCTAAGGTGCTAGAAATGTTTTGGTTTCTTGATCTGGGTACTGGTTATATCCACCAGTTCACCAGTTATATTCTGGTTATGTTCACCAGAAAATTCATTGAGCTTACACTTAAGAATTGTGCACTTTTCTGTATACTATTCTTTAAAAACTTAAGTAATGTGTATCTCAATGTGTGAATGCTTGGGTAGGGCTTTGCCAAAAGATTTAGTGAAGTGATCATAATGAAGTCATCACATGCTTGCATCTACATATAGGATTTTCGTGAATTCTGCAGCTACAAGCTCAGACTGTCACAGATGGGTTGCATTGGTGACTCAAATTCAAATTGGCCATCTGTGCCACGATTTTCCAAAATGCCAACAATTCTTGGTGAAATTCCAAAAAAACAAAATACAATTTTCCCTTGATATATATGGCTGTCTGCCTCTCTGAAAAAGTCAGGATTAAAACTATTCTTAAAATTTTTAAATATACATATATTTAATGTTTTATTATTTCTGGGAGAGAGAGAGAGAGAGGGAGAGGGAGAGAGGGAGAGTGCACGTGGGGGAGGGGCAGAGAGAGGGACACAGAATCCGAAGCAGGCTCCAGGTTCTGAGCTGTCAGCACAGAGACCGATGCAGGGCTTGAACTCACAAGCCTTGAACTCACAAGCTGCAAGATCATGACCCGAGCTGAAGTCGGACGCTTAACTGACTGAACCACCCAGGCACCCCTAAATATATTTTTAAGTTTTACTTATTTAAGTAATCTCTACACCCTTCGTGGAGCTTGAACTCATGACCCCGAAATCAAGAGTCGTACGCTCTTCTGACTGAGCAAGACAGGCCCCTGAGATTAGAACCATTTATAACTTTATGTTTATATATATAAAATGAATGTTGGTTCTGTACTTGGATAATTATAAATGTGTTCTTACTTACATGAATGTCCACGGAGCCTTCTGAAAATGGTGGAGGACAAGGGACTTTTTTTTTTTTTTTTTTTTTTTTTTTTTTTTTTTTCATTGAATAAGGCTGTCTGGTACTATGCAAGACAACTGATATCCCTGGGTCCACCCATTACATGCCAATAGGTCCTCCACCACTGTGATAAAGAAAAAAAAATGCCCCCACAAATTCACAGAACAGTCCCTATGGGTAGCACTGCCCCCTGTTGAGGACCACTGGTTTAGGGCCACAGATTTAAGGCATAAAGGTCAGCAACGGGGGGACGAATACCCAAAGAAATGGGAGGTGAAAAGATTAGTTAGAGCTCAGCGAAGGTCAGCTTAGTTGGAGGGGAAATGTAGTGGGGGAAAAAGACGGTGAGTGGCACTGGTATGCTCGAATCCATAAAGATTTGTTAGGTGAGTCAGGGAACAAATGAATGAGTGGATGTTTGCAGGTAATAAGAAACTATTGACTTTTGATTATCCTGTTTTTATTTTTATTTTTAATTCATTTTTAATGTTTTATTTATTTTTGAGACAGATGGAGACAGAGCATGAGCAGGGGAGGGGCGGAGAGAGATGGAGACACAGAATCCGAAGCAGGCTCCAGGCTCCGAGTGTCAGCACAGAGCTGACACGGGGCTCGAACTCACAAACCGTGAGATCATGACCTGAGCCGAAGTCGGACGCTTAACCAACTGAGCCACCCAGGCGCCCCAATTCTGTTTCTATTTTATTAAAAAATTTTTTAATGTTTATTTATTTTTGAGAGAAAGAGAGAGAGTGTGAGCAGGGGAGGGGCAGAGAGAGATGGAGTCAGCACAGAGCCCAACTCGGGGCTCAAACTTGCGAGCTGTGAGATCATGACCTGACCCAAAGTCAGACGCTTAACCGATTGAGCCACCCAGGCACCCCAAGTGTCTGACTCTTGATTTCCGCTCGCGTCATGATTTCACTGTTCCTGAGTTCAAGCCCTGCTCCTGGCTCTGCACGGATGGTGCAGAGCCTGCTTGGGATTCTCTCTCTCCCTCTCTCTCTACCCTTTCCCCACTCATGAGCACACTCTTGCACTCTTTTGCTCTCTCAAAATAAATAAATAAACTTGAAAAAATAATTTTCTAGTCAGTCCTGGCACCCTATAGAAAATCATTCTTATTGGATTCTTATCTATCCTGCAGAGTTTCTTTGTGCATACAAAAGCAAATTTCCATATCTAGTATTTTCCCCTTGGCTTTGTTTATACTTAAGAGGTACCATACTACATATACTGTTCTGCTCTTTGCTCGATGAGTCTGGAAGCTTTTTCCTTAGCGGTGCCTAGAGCACTTCTGTGTTATTTTCAACAGCTGCCTAGTTGGCCATTGTGTGATTCCACCATACTCTCTTCAATCACTCTCTTATTGATGGGATTTGAGTTGTTTTCTATCAGTATTAGAAACAACGCTTCAATGATAACCTTTACAATGTGTCATGTGTTTTATGGTGGAGATTTTTGAGGAAGGACAAAACAACATTAAGATGATGTTTTAGGAAGATTTAGCAACTCCTGGACAAGATGGGTTTGGGAGTATGGGCGAGTTACTCTATCATATGGGAGGGCAAGTTATTAAAATAGACTAGATATAACAGGGTGGGAGGTGTGGTGGTTTTACAAATATATCCATAGAGGGGCGCCTGGGTGGCTCAGTCGGTTAAACATTTGACTCGAGGTCAGCTCAGGTCATGATCTCACAATAGGGAGTTCAAGCCCCACTTTGAGCTCCACACTGAGCATGGAGCCTACTTGGGATTCTCTCTCTCCCTCTCTCTCTGCTCCTCCTGCCCCCTCCTCTCAAAATTAATAAATAAACATTTAAAAAACCAAATATATCCATAGATTCTTAGAATCTTCTCCCCTCAGATTTGGAGGCTAACTCCCCCCCCCCCCCCCCCGTCTTGAGTAGGAGCTGACCTAGTGCCTTGAATCTAATAAATGGAAGAAAGCAGAACCAATGGTATGAGACTTTGGGCACCAGGTCATAAAAAGGCATTCTCTTCTGGGGCGCCTGGGTGGCTCCGTCAGTTAAGTGTTCAACTCTTGATTTTGGCTCAGGTCAAGATCTCATGGCTCCTGAGATCAAGCCCCGAGTCAGGCTCCTCGCTGACGGTTCGGAGCCTGCTTGGGAATCTCTCTCTCCCTCTCTCTGGCCCTCCCCTGCTCTCTCTCTCTCTCTCTCTCAAAATAAATAAACAAAACTTAAAGAAAAGACACTTTATTTTGCTCTTTCTCTCTATCTTGGATCACTTGCTCTGGAGGAAGCCAGCTGACGTGTTGTAAGTAGCTCTATGGAACCCTATAGAGAGACCCACATGGGAGAAACTGAGGCCTCCTGCCAACAGCCATGTGAGTGAACTTGGAAGCAAATCCTTCAGGCCCTGTCAAACCTTCAAATGACTGCAGCCCTGGTCAATACCTTGCCTGCATCCTCATGAGAAACCCCGAGCTACAGCCATCCAGCTAAGCCTCTCCTAAATTCCTGCTTCACAGAAACTGAGATGATAGATGTTTGTTGTTTAAGCTACTAAATTTTGAGGCAATGTATTACAAACAGGTGGAATTTTGGGCATGAGAAAGAGAGGGAGGGTAAAGGAGGCATCTGGAAATATCTTCCACCTCTGTTTATTAGAAATTGTCCATACTCTCCCCTTGCAGTGTAAGCTCCTTGAGGAGAGGATCTTTGCCTGGTTTTTTTTCACTGACTTATCCTTAGCTTCTAATATATAACAGACTCTCAGGATTGCTAGGGAAAACCTTGAAAAAGGGGTCAGATAAAGGAACAGTAGGTCTGATATGTCAGTAACAGGAGTGAAGTGTAGTTGAATAGTCAATTAAAATACCCCCCAAAATAACAAGCAGCCAGCTAGATGTGTAGGCCTGGAGGAGGATTTCTCAACCTCAGCACTATTAATAGTTTGGACCAGATTATTCTTTGTTGTGAAGAGCTGTCCTGGGCATAGAAGAGGTTTAGTAGAAATATCCCTAATCTCTACCCACTAGATGTCAGTAGCGCACACACATCGCGTCCCTGTCCTCTGTCACCACCCTCCTCCCAACCAAAAAGTCTTTGCCAAATGTTCCTGGGAAGGAGGATCACTCCCCAGTTGGGGATCACTGACCTAGAGGATATAATGACAATTGAAACCAAGGGAAAGGGGTTGGATGCCTGATCCTTGGGGAAATGCACTTTAAAAAGGAGGGCCAGGGACACTTGGGTAGCCACCCAAGGTCTCACTGTCAAAGGTCTCACTCTCGATGAGTGAGATGGAGCCCCACGTCTGGCTCAGCACTGGGTGTGAAGCCTGCTTAAGATTCTCTCTCTCCCTCTGCCCTTCTCCTGGGCACATGAGGTACATGCGCTCTCTCTCTCTCTCTCTCCCCCCCCCAAAAAAAAATGAGGGCTGTAGGGGCATCCGGCTGGCTCAGTAGGAAGAGCATGTGACTCTTGGCCTCAGGCTCATGAGTTCGAGCCCTATGTTGGGTGCAGAGATTATTTAAATAAATAAATAAATAAGCTCAAAAAAAAAAAATCAAATAAATAAATAAGAAGGCTGTAACAGAAGACAGAAAAGCCGAAAAGCAAAACCAACAGAACAAAAAGGGATTCAGAAGTCAATGAAAAACAAACAGCAGAGTGTTTTAGTGAAGAGGTTGGCAGGATTTGGGAGAGGATTGCTTTAATAGAATAGTGTGACAAAACCCTGGTTGCGGTGTGTTTGCGTGTGCTTGTGCACACCTATGTGTCCTCTCAGGTGAGAGAGGCGAGGAAAAAGTAGAGGCAGTCTGGTAGCTGGTAATAAGAAAGCAATCAACCGAATGCGAATATGGAATATCACGGTGGGTGGAAAGCAGAGAGAAAGGATCAAAGGAGAGGGCGAGGCTGTAGGGGAAATGTGAAAAGAGAAAGCAATGGTGTATTCCACCACATCCTTCATCTCTGGAGAGTCATGGAAAGGACGGAGAGTATCAATCTTTACCCTTCCCTAGAAGGAAGGAAGAAGGGAGCAGAGAGCTTTAACAAATTAGGTTGGAGAAAACCGTGAAATGGGATCTGCAATGGACCGTTAACTCCCTCAGACTAATTTCAAGAGGTAGGCTTCCTGGGTTGGAAGCCGTAAGAATTTTCTCTGAATAAAACAGTATGAAGCCATGCCATTCCTTTAGAACACAGTAGACCGGGGCGCCTGGGTGGCGCAGTCGGTTAAGCGTCCGACTTCAGCCAGGTCACGATCTCGCGGTCCGTGAGTTCGAGCCCCGCGTCGGGCTCTGGGCTGATGGCTCAGAGCCTGGAGCCTGCTTCCGATTCTGGGTCTCCCTCTCTCTCTGCCCCTCCCCCGTTCATGCTCTGTCTCTCTCTGTCCCAAAAATAAATAAATAAAAAAAAATAATAAAAAAAAAGAACACAGTAGACCACCAAAGGTTCTGGAAAGGACCCTCCTGTGCATTTCTACCACTCTTCCATGAATTAAGACCCCTGTTTACTCTGATGTGGATGAACTAAGGCTCTTCTCACCTCCAGGTTCTCCTCTTCCAAATCTTCACATCATATAACCCCCTTGCTTAAGAATATTTACTACCTCCCTGCCACCTACAGTGTAAGGACCAAAATTCTTGTTTAATTTTCAGGGAAGGGGAGGAAACTATCACTCATCAGTGCCTAGCATATGCTAAGTGTATTCGTTTCCTAGGGCCGCTGTAATAAAGTACCACAAACTCGGTGGCTTTGAACAACAGAAATTTATTCTCTCACAGTTTTGGAAGCTAGAAGTCCAAAACCGAGGTGTCAGCATGGCCATGTTCCCTCTGGGACCCTGAGCAGAATGCTTCTTTGCTTCTTCCTGGCTTCTGGTGGTGGCCACCAGTCAGTCCTTGGCATTCCTTGGCCCACAGCTGCATCGTTCTAATCTCTGTGCTGCCATCACATGGGTTCTCCTTGAGTCTGTCTTTGTATGTGTTTTCCCTTCTTATGAAGACATCACTCACTGGGGCACTTGGCTGGCTCAGTTGGTAGAGCATGCCTCTCTTGATCTTGGGGTTGAGTTCAAGCCCCAAGTTAGGCATAAAGCTTACTTAAAAACAAATAAATACGAACACCAGTTCTATTAGATCAGGGCCCACTCTAATTGGGTGTGATCTCATCTTAACTGGACTACATTTACAAAGACCCTATTTCCAAATAAGGTCACATTTCTGAGCTGCTGGCAATTAGGACTTGAACATGACTTGAACAGGGACATTTGCAAAAACTCTCCCTCAGATACTCTACACTAGAGCCAAAGGGATCTAATCATTGCTAGGCTATATAGCCTATGCTTTCCCACCTTGTGCCAGGCCATTGTTAGGTTTCCATTTACCCATTCTTGAAGGCCCAGACGAAATGGCACCTCCTCCCTAAAGACTTCTTCAGTGTCTCCTTCTCCTGATCTTTCAGGGCATTTCTCATTGTCCCTTCTGCCCTGCAATTATTTGTGTTCCCTTCTTAAATGCTGCTCACCTCCAAGAATTGGATGGAGGACAAATTGGATAATACATGGGGAAACTGTTGTTGTTGTTTAATTTTTTTCTTTATTTTAGAGAGAGTGTGAACGGGGGAGGGGGCAGATGGAGAAAGAGAATTTCAAGCAGGCTCCACACTCAGCAGGCATGACCTGAGCTGAAATCAAGCATCTGACGCTGAACCTGAACCGACTGAGCCACCCAGCACCCCTGCGTGAGGAAGTTTTGCAATACCAGAGTGCCCCCAAATTTTAGGCCAGTGACAACGAACTTTCACACACTTTAAAACAGCTTTATTGGGGGAGAGCTCACATCCCACATAATTCACCTCTTTGAAGAGCGCAATTCAAAGGCGGTTTTTTTTTTTTTTTTTTTTTTTTTTTTTTCCTATTACCATCACTGCAATCTAATTTTAGAACATTTTCTTAACCTTCCGAAAGAAACTCCATACCCATTTACTGTCACTTCCTATTCCCCAACCCCCTCCCCAGCCCTTCTACAAATATGTTTATTCCGGACATTTCATATGAACCTTCACCCATTTTCAGTGGGCTTCCACAAAGGCTTCACGTTGTGGGATTTTTTACAGTATTGTTTGGGGATCAACACCCCTATTTTCACGGGACAAGACTGACCGCTGTTGAGGATGTGTAAGACTTCAACTCGCACACGGATTTCGGATTCCATCGCTCTGTAGATGCAAGGATATCTTGAGTGGGAAGTCCGCCGTCCTCCAGCAGCCCGGTTGAAATCGAAGCGGCGCGGGCAGGAGCTAACCCCGAGCTCCTCCTGGGTTCCCCCCCGTTCTGGCCGCTGCACTGCCAGTGAGGGCAGCCACACGCTCCCTTTTCCTCCAGGCGCCGCGGTCACCAGCCCCACCAGGATCCTGAGCCGCGCCGAGGCAGGTCACTCCACGCAAGCGCCATCCAAACCTCCCCGCCCTCACCCCCACCCCGAGGCCCAATCACCGCGCTGCTCCTTTCGGCGTGCTACTGTAAATGGCCCACCTACCAGCGCGATCGTGGGACCGCCCGCAGCTCCTGCGCCGGGGGCCCGGTGCCCCAGTCCCTAGGGCAGCGGGGAGTCTGGAGCACGAGTCGTGTTCGATTCAGAGGGTGAACTTGACCTAGCGAGGAAAGGCCATCCCACGGCTCTGGGGGAAATGGCTGTGAAGCTGGCGTCGCCGGGTTTCCTTTGGGACTTTCTCAGGATACGGATCCAAAACGAGGGGCTCATAAACTTAAGGGGAGGCCCGGGGCCCTGAGTGGGGAGGATCCGTGGGCGGGAAGGAGGCCTCCCGGGAGCGGTGCCCCAGGCCTATGTGGGTCGGCAGACTGCCCTGGCCCTACATATCTACCCCCCTCAAAAACTGCCAAACTTTTTAAGGGGGGGGGGGGAGGGGGGGAGGGGGGGGCTTACAAAACAAAACAAAAAGTGTAACAGTGGTATAGCTTAAAGCGCATTTAGCATGAGCTTTTAACACAAAAGCCCACTGCAATCTGGTCGCCTGCCTGGCTCAGGCAGTTAAGTGTCTGACTCCTGGTTTCTGTTCAGGACACGGTTTGTGAGATCCAGCCCAGCATTCGGCTCTGCACTCACTGACAGTGCAGACCCTGCTTTGGATTCTTCTCTCTCTCCCTCTCTTTCTGCCTCTCCCCTGTTCATGCTCGCTCTCTCTCTCTCTCTCTCAAAATAAATAAAAAAGTAATTTTTTTAAAAAATACACTGCAATGTAATTGTGCTTCACAAAATAACTCTATGAGAAAAATAATACATAAGATCAAGGTAAGGTAAGGCCCAGTAATGGTCTCTGGGTCCAGACTACTTGTTTGAAGATAAAAGTTTACATTTCAGAGTTTCCTGGAAGTAAGGCCTGGGACCAAAGACCCTCTGCCCCTCACTCCCCCTAGGCCATGCTTCCGAGGCTCTATAAAGCTGTGGGTCACAGAGGCAGCATATTCAGTAGCTCCAAGTGGTTAACTACTTGGGGACTGATGTCAGACAGACTTGAATACTGATCCTGATTCTTTCTCTTACATGTGGTGTGGGCTTGGGCAAACCACTTGATTTTTCGAACGTCCAGTTTTTTAAACGTTAAAACGGTTCCAATAACGCCTAGCTGAGGACTCACAGGAGTTGTACACACACGCACACACACACGCACACCCCACACACGCTTCCTTTGGGACTCCTATACCACTCTGATTCATTTATTCTTTCCTAGGATCTGAGAGAACTTCTGTTTCTTGGGTGGGACAAAAAGTTGAGGTCTGTGGTCCTCTGAAGAGATCCCAAAGATAAGGCACGTCCCAGAGAAGTCAGTCTGTTGAGTTGAGGGGGTCAGTGTATGCCTGAAGTCAGACTTCTTGGAAAACCTCAAGGATCCATTCCCCACAAAGTTCTCCCTCTAAAGGCACTTATCTAGTGCAATTTCAGTACCTTTTCTTTTTTCTTTTTTTTTTTTTTCAACGTTTATTTATTTTTGGGACAGAGAGAGACAGAGCATGAACGGGGGAGGGGCAGAGAGAGAGGGAGACACAGAATCGGAAACAGGCTCCAGGCTCCGAGCCATCAGCCCAGAGCCCGACGCGGGGCTCGAACTCACAGACCGCGAGATCGTGACCTGGCTGAAGTCGGACGCTTAACCGACTGCGCCACCCAGGCGCCCCTCAGTACCTTTTCTAGGTTAGTTCCATTTTCTCAGATTCCAAGTGGTGCCAGACTGCTCCTAGATTTGGGGAATATAACAATAAGTTTGTAAAAATAACCCTTGACTATTCTTTCTCTATACATCTTTTCTCCAGTGAGTTTTATATATAGAGAGGGTCCTGAGGTGGAACTAAGGGAGATAAATAAATTTGGTTCAGCACTGGGGCGCCTGGGTGGCGCAGTCGGTTGAGCGTCCGACTTCAGCCAGGTCACGATCTCGCGGTCCGTGAGTTCGAGCCCCGCGTCGGGCTCTGGGCTGATGGCTCAGAGCCTGGAGCCTGTTTCCGATTCTGTGTCTCTCTCTCTCTCTCTGCCCCTCCCCCGTTCATGCTCTGTCTCTCTCTGTCCCAAAAATAAATAAACGTTGAAAAAAAAATTAAAAAAAAAAATAATAAATTTGGTTCAGCACTTACCCAACTCAGGTCCTGAACTCCAGTGTTCTTAAAAAGGATCTTTAATTACATTATCTCATTTAATCTTCACAACATCCCTAAGAAAAAAAAGAAATGATTATCCCCATTTAACAGGTAAGAAAATTAAGGCAGAGAAGTTGGGCCCCTTGCTAATGGGGGGGGGGGGCAGAGGATCAGAGTGCTTCATAAATGGGAATTTGCAAGGGAACATGAACTCTT